GAGGCGTTGGCGAGCTGGAAGGGCCCGGCGGTGAAGGCCGCCATGGAGGAGGAGATTTGTAGCCACATCAACATGGGCACTTGGGAGCTGGTCGAACGCCCGCCTTGGGTGAACATAATGAAGAACCGGTGGGTGCTGACAACGAAGTACCGCATCGAAGACAATGTCGAGCGCGAAAAGGCGAGGCTGGTTGTGAAAGGCTTGACACAGGTGTATGGCGCTGACTACGACAAGACGTACGCGCCGGTGAGCAGCTACGTCACGCTGAGGATTTTCCTCAGCATCGTCGCCGTCCTCGACCTCAACCTGATGCAACTGGACATGAAGAACACCTTTTTGCAGAGAAAGCTCGACCACGTGCTGTACATGTACCAGCCTGACTACTTCAACGACGGGACCGGCCGGGTCTGCAAGCTGTTGAAGAGCCTCTATGGGCTAAAGCAGTTGCCGCTGCTGTGGTACACGGCTCTCAACGACGTGTTGGTTGGCGCCGGGTGGAAGAAGAGCCAAGTCGATGAGGCTCTGTACTCCAAGGCCGGCGACGACAAGGTGACCTGCTGGGTGCTGGTCTACGTCAATGACCTCCTCGCCGCGAGCAGCAGCACCGCGATGCTGAAGGAGCTGCTGGAGGCCGCTTTCGAGCTGCGCGAAATTTCGCCGCTGCAGAAGTATCTCGGCCTGGAGATCGTGCGCGACAGGCCGGCGCAAAAATTGTGGCTGCACCAGCAGGGCTACGCCGATAAGTTGCGCATGCACTTCATCGACGAGGAGCAGACGGAGCGCACTCCGAAAACGCCGGTCTGCGTCGCCGCCTACGCGGAGCAGACATTCGACGACGAGGAGGCGTAGGAGCGCGAGGAGGAGTACAGGCAGAAGGTCGGCTTGCTGCAGTTCGCGGCGACGACGACGAGGCCAGACATCGCATTCGCGTGCAGCAAGCTGGGGAGTAGCCTCACGGTGAGGAGCGACAAGCACTGGCGCGAGGTCGACCGCTGCCTCGCCTACCTTGCCAACACGCGAGACACCGCCCTGGAGTTCGGCGGTGGTCCGGAGTCACTGGAGTTGGTCGGCTACGTGGACGCCGACAACGCTGGCGACAAGCAGAACCGGATGAGCACGGGCGGCTACGTGTTCGTCTACGGAGGGGCCGCGGTCTCCTGGTCAAGCCAGGGCATCAAGTGCGCGACGCTGTTGTCGACCGAGTCGCAGTACGTGGCGGCCGTCGAAGCCGGCAAGGAGGGACGTCGTCTATGCTTCCTCCTCGCGGAGTTCCAGCGGCTGGACGCCGGAAAGCCGACTGTCCTCAGGGTGGACAACAAGTCGGCCATCACGGTCGGCGAGGGCATGGAGTTGACGGGCAACCTCAAGCACATGGAATGGCGACATGCCTGGCTGCAGCACATGGTGAAGCGCGGGAAGTTTTCGCTGAAGTACATCCCGACCACTGAGCAGCCGGCAGACTTCCTGACGAAGGCGCTGCACTACCCGGCCTTCAACTGGTGCTCCGTTGCAATCGGCCAAGTGCGCCTAGCCGATGTGGGAGACGGTGACAACGACGTGCAGAAGTAGGTGCCATGCCCTTTTGCATGGCTGGTGCGGTGACACGCGTGTTGTGCGTTGTGTGCACGCCAACGGGCTACTCTCTGATTAGTACTGCCGTGTGGGCCGGGGGGGGGGGGGGCCCAAGCGTGAACGCGGCAGGGGAGTGTCAATGGGAGTTGTGTTTGGTCCCGTCCTCGCTTGGGCGGAGCCGACGGCGGGAGGACCGTGGGAGCCGCGAAATCGCGGGAGGACCGTGTGAGCCGCGAAATCGCGGGAGGTCCGTGGGAGCCGCGAAATCGTGGGAGGTCCGTGGGAGCCGCGAAACCGCGGGAGGTCCGTGGGAGCCGCAAAACCGCGGGAGGACCATGGGAGCCGCGAAACCGCGGGAGGACCGTGGGAGCCGCGAAACCACGGGAGGACCGTGGGAGCCGCGAAACCGCGGGAGGACCGTGGGGCCGCGAAACTGCGGGAGGACTGCGAAATACCCGGTCAACCAGGATACCCGGGCGATGTGCCTGAAAGTCGCTGGGGGGTGTTGTCAGCAAGGACAACCTCGGGGTGGTATTCCGAGGTCGACGTGGCTGGTGGGCGCCGTCACGGGTGGAGTGTCTGCGCTGGGCATGTGACGGGGAGTTGGGCGCCAACCAGCTGCACGCACCTGCGAAGCTAGTGCACCATTGTCAAGCAGGTGCAACACTGTGCAGCCGACTTACTGCAGCGTTGGCACATCGCGGGCTTGCAACGTTGGCAAGCCGCGACTCTGCTGGAGCGCAGTCAACCAAGTCGTGCTGGCACGCAGTCGACCGTGCTGCGCTGGCAGTCGACCAGCAGCCTTGCTAGGTATGATGTAGTATGTGTTGCCAATGTTGATGCTATCATTCTGCACTTTTGTTGTTATGTTTTCCTAGTGAAATTCTTGCCAATTTTCCCCGTGAAGTAGAAAGCCGTGTTAGCACTTGGAAACGACTAAGGAACGAATGAACGCAGAGATCACACGAGCATCCGTGCCTGGCCCATAGTCTAGCTCCCGTTGCACTAGTTATCTCCGCGCTGGTGAAGCTGCTACTCTGGGTGCTGGTGCGTCTCTTACTCTAGGTGCTGGTGAGGCTGCTGCTCTAGGTGCTAGTGCGTCTCCTGCTCTAGGTGCTAATGAGGCTGCTACTCCAGGTGCTGGTGCGTCTGCTCTCTCTGGCACTGCGCCGGCTGAGTCCTAGTACACCTTCACATTCGACTAGGGTGCTTCCCGCTCCTTCTTTCGCGACAGCACCACCCTCACGCCGCTCAGTCAGCCAGTTCCAGTCTCCCTGGCAGACCCCTCTGGGGGTCCAGTCCTTGCGCACTCCTCCCCGGTCTTGCCGTGTTCGGCGGTCCCGTCTGGCTCCCTGTCAGGTTTTCACCTCTCCTCGTTCTCTACGAACTTGGTGAGTGGTGCTGACCTCCAAGACCAGTGGGTTACCAGTTCACTCCTGGAGGTCAGCACGTGACCCACTGTACGTGCTCCCGGACGGGCCGGCACCTGGCCACGTTTACTCGTGCGCCTGGCTCGAGTCTGTACACATTGACTACCGTATCCCCTCAGGTCGCTGCGTCTGCGTTTGCGTCAGGTCAGCTAGCGCCACCCTGCTCGTGTCGCACTTTGTCGCACCAAACCCTCATTTGGCACCACCGTCTTGGTCACCCCTCGGTGCAACGCCTTCGTAGCATGCACCGCCGTGTCCTTGTCTCTGGTCTTCCCAAGGTTCTCCCTCCCCTCCCACCCTCGCCTGCTCCTCCCTCTCTTCCTTGTGTCGAGGGGCGGCAGCGCGCCGCTCCTCACTCCTCCTCGTTTCCCCCAACGACTGCTCCCCTGCAGACACTGCACATTGACGTGTGGGGCCCAGCTCGCGAGCGGTACTTCCTGCTGGTTGTTGACGACTACTCGCGTTACACCATGGTCTTCCCCTTGCGCACCAAGGGTGAGGTCCCTGATGTTTTGATCCCTTGGATCCGCGCTGCCCGTCTCCAGCTCCGCGAGCGGTTCGGGACGGAGTTTCCCGTCTTGCATCTGCACTCTGACAGAGGTGGGGAGTTTTCCTCCGACCTTCTGCAGAGCTTTTGTCGTGGGGAGGGCATTCTCCAGACGTTCACACTTCTAGCCTCTCCGCAACAGAATGGGGTTGCTGAGGGCCGCATTGGCTTGGTCATGGAGGTCGCTCGTACCTTCATGGTCCATGCAGCTGCCCCCCATTTTCTGTGGCCGTTTGCGGTCCGCTACGCCGCGCATCAGCTCAACCTCTGGCCCCGTGTCTCCTTGCCGGAGACCTCGCCCACACTGCGGTGAACGGGGAAGGTTGGCGATGCGTCGGTGTTCCGGGTCTGGGGCTCTCGTGCCTTTGTCCGTGATACCACCACGGACAAGCTCTTCGCGCGCGCTGTTCCCTGTGTCTTCCATGGCTTTGTCCCTTACACGCCTGGTTGGCAGTTTTTCCACCCCACCTCGCGCCGTGTCTTCCCCTCTCAGGACGTCACGTTCGACGAGTCAGTTCCCTTTTCCCGTCTCTTCCCCTACCGCACTGCCCCTTCCCCCCCCCCCCCCCCCCCCCCGCCGCTCTTCCTCGCTACAGGTGCTCCCCAGGTAGACCCCCTCCCCGCTCCCAGTCCTACTCCTTGAGGTGTGTCTCAGGTAGACCCTCCTCCCTTGACTGCGCCGGTTGAGGTCACTGGTGACTCAGGTCCTGCTGAGGGTGGTCTTTCTTGGGGTACTGGTACTAGGGGTGCTGAGCCTGGGGGTGCGGAGCCTGGGGGTGGTGAGCCTGGGGGTGCGGAGCCTGGGGGTGCTGAGCCTGGGGGTGCGGAGCCTGGGGGTACTGAGTTTGGGGGTGCTGAGCCTGGGGGTACTAAGTCTGGGGGTGCTGCACCTGGGGGCGCTGCGGTGTCTGGTGAGCAGTCTCCCTGGAGCGGCCGTCTCTGTAATCGCTCCGCTGGTGCCTCGCCACTGCACTCTTGTCATCGTCTCCCTCTCTCCCCACAGCAGCTGCATGAGTGGGACGTTAGCCGTCAGGGTCGCGCTGGTGGAGCTAGGGGCCCTGCTGCGGGAAGCGCTGGAGCTGGTGACTTTGCTACTGGAGTTGTTTCTATTGGAGTTTTTGGAGCTGCTGGGACTGGAGGCCCTGCTGGGCCTGGAGGTGTTGCTGTCGACTCTGAGGTTGGAAGCCTTGGAGCTGGAGGTGCCGGCTCTGGGGGTGCTACTGCTGGTGGCGCTGGAGCTGGAGGTTCTAGAGCTGCTGCGGGTGATGGCGCTGGAGGTTCTGGAGCCGTTGGAGGTGCAGACGCTGGTGGCGCTATAGCTAGAGGTTCTTGAGCTGCTGCGGGTGCTGGCGCTGGAGGTGCGACGCCTGAGGGTTCTGAGTCTGCGGTTGCGCGGTCTCCTTGGAGTAGCCGCCTTCATCCGCGTGTGCCTCTCACCTCACAGCAGCTGCATGACTGGTACGGTCGCCGTCAGAGTCGCGCTTCTGGAGCTCGGGCCTCTGCCGCTGGAGGTACTACTGCTGGAGACCCTAGGTCTGGGGGTGCTGGATCTGGGGGTGCTGCTGCTGGTGGAGCTGGTCCTGGAGGAGCTGGCGCTGAGGCTTCTGGAGCTGCTGTGGGTACTGGAGCTGCTGGTACTGGTGGCACTGCACAGCCGCGCCTGTTCTTCGCTCCACCGTCTCCGTCGTCTCAGCCACCGCCTGACTCTGTGATTCGCCAGGTTCTTAGTCTCCCTTCGTCTACTGGTCTTCTGTTACAGCCTGGCTCACCGATGCCTGCTCCTTCTCCTTACATTGAGCAAACAGGGGGTCTTACTGAGCGTCGTGAGCCTGCGTCGCGTCCTCTCTCGCCTGTCAGTTTTGGTCGTTCCAATCGTCATGTTCCTCGTCCGAGTCAGCCGGCTGTCCCCGGCACCCACCTAGTAGTGCGTCGTCCTTCCTCTCCTCCACAGCAAGTTCCTCTGCCGTCTCCTCCTGCGTCTTCTTTGCATGACGTTCTAGAGCTTGAGTCTGATCGCGCTCGTGCTGCTCATCCTACTGTCACGCGTCTGCTAGCCACAGCTGTCACTGACCCGTCATTTGAGTCTGCTTCTGCATCTGCCTTAGTCACTGAGCTGGTTAACTTTGCTGCTGCCTGCCGTCTAGACTACGCCACTAGTCTTGTTGTTGAGTCTGAATCTGTCCATCCTCCGTCCTTCGGGGGTGAGTGTGCTCTTGGACCGGACGTCCTTGAGGATATGCAGGAGGACCTTGAGTGTCTTGCAGCCGCTGCGCCTCATCTCGTGTCCATGCTGCTTGCCCCTGAGGGAGACCCGGATGCACCAGACATCCCGACTCCGCGATTTTGAACCTCAATGGCAGACAGCCATGGACGCAGAGATGGCATCCTAGAAGTCCACAAGCACTTACGTCAACGAGGTTCCCCCTCCTGGGGTGAGCATCTTCGATGGCATGTGGATTTTCAGGGTGAAGCGGCCGCCAGGTTCTCCGCCTGTCTTCAAGGCTCGTTACGTTGCTCGAGGCTTTAGTCAGCGGGAGGGAGTCGACTTCTTCCAGACCTTCTCCCCGACCCCGAAGATGACCACTCTTCAAGTGCTGCTGCACGTTGCCGCTCAGCGTGACTACGAGCTTCACACTCTTGACTTCAGCACAGCCTTCTTATAGGGCAGCCTGCACGAGGAGATATGGCTGCGCCGCCCACTTGGCTTCACTGGGTCGTTCCCTCCTAGTACCCAGTGGAGCCTCGGGCGGCCAGTCTACGGTCTCCGTCAGGCGCCGCGTGAGTGGCACGACACACTCAGGACTACACTTGCGGCTTTTGGGTTTGCTCCGTCGAATGCTGACCCGTCGCTGTTTCTGCGCACCGACACTTCACTGCCGCCGTTCTACATCCTCGTGTACGTCGACGACTTGGTCTTTGCCACTGCTGACACTAAGGCTCTTGCCTTGGTGAAGTCGGAGCTGCAGAAGAGACACACGTGCACAGACCTGGGTGAGCTGCGTAGCTACCTTGGCTTGCAGATCACCCGGGACAGAGCACGCCGCACCATCACACTGACTTAGTCACACATGGTGCAGCAGGTCCTTCAGCGCTTCGGCTTCAACTGGTCCTCGACACAGGCCACTCTTCTGGCTACAGGTCACTCGCTCTCAGCAACACCTTCGGACGAGTCCAAAGAGCCGAGTGGTCCTTACCCACATCTAGTGGGCTGCCTCATGTACCTGATGACCAGCACTCGTCCTGAACTTGCGTACCCTCTTGGCCTTCTGGCTCGCTACGTGGCTCCTGGTTGGCACCGAAAGGTGCACATGGATGCTGCTAAGAGGGTACTACGCTACTTGTGCAGTACATCGGGCATGGGGCTTGTGCTTGGAGGACGGAGCGACGTTGTCCTCACTGGGTTGACGACCAGGCTACGCAACGGTCGTCAAAGGGTTACAACTTCAGCCTTGGCTCTGGTACAGTTTCTTGGCGTTCTACACGCTCCTTTTCAGCTCTCAGCTGCAATTGTGAGGCTGAGATCTACGCCACAGCCATGGCTGCAGAGGAGTTACGCTGGCTTACATTCCTGCGGACCGACTTGGGAGAGCGGCCTGGTTCTCCTCTAGTGCTGTACGTAGACAACAAGGCCGCCATTGCCTTGTGTCAAGAGCACAGACTGGAGCACAGAACGAAGCACATCGCCCTACGTTACTTCCTTGCTCGAGAAATGCAGCAGCGTGGTCAGCTTCGTCTTGCTCACGTGGCCAATCAGGCCAGCACTGCTGATATATTCACCAAGGCACTTCCGCCTGGTGATCATCAGCGCTTTTGTACGTCGTTGGGTCTTGTGCCTACGTTTCCTCTCTTGCTGTAGGCTCTGTCTTTACTATGATCTATATATATACCTGCATGCTTACTCTTGGTAGGTAGAGATCACTGTGCTGTTGTTGTTGCATATATACCTCTGCATGTGAACTGGCCTTGTGGCCCTTTGCTTATGCTCAGTGTGTGTGGTGACGTTGTGATCCACCCTGAGCTTGCTTTGTTTCTCTTGACTGGTCTGATGACCCCTTGCTCTCCCCCACTTTGCCTATGGGGGTGTGTCAAATTTAATGTATGTCATATATGTGTAGGCTGTAGTGGGGTAGCCAGCATGGGGTAGAACCCCATTAGGGTTTCACATTTGTACCCAACTCTTTCATAGTTCATTCATTCCTGCTGCTACATTCTGACAGGTAAATGAAGAGGTGGGCTTTTAATCCCGAGGGTCAACGTTGGAACGATAAAGCACTTTGCAGCCATCTCTCCCCGGATTTGCCGCTCCTAAATCTTCTCCTAAATTAATCATTGCTTCGCTACTGCCGCCGCTGGTGCTTCCGCTCCCACCTCCAGTCGCTATGTGACGGTAGTGACTTTCGTTTGAATTGTCGAAGCCTGCTTTGCCGCGTGTGGCAGCTGCATTTACCAAATCGGAGCACGCAATATCGCGAAAAAATGGCATGCTATGCATTCCCTTATATGGGAGGCCAACTCTCACGCACGAATCTAACCAATCTCGGAGGGCTGCGATATCTGGACTCGAGCCGGCCGAAAAATTGTACACCCAAACTAGCAGCATCGCGAACGCCATAGTCGCCAGAAGAGACACTCCGAAGGCCCGTTTCGCGACTAACCAGATCGACGACCGCCAGGAGCCCTTCGCCATACCTGCCATTGGAGGGTCCAGAGGAAATTCACGGTCTATCACGAACAGATTACTACAAAGTATTGGGAGAGAGATTTGGCCTGGCGCGCTTCGCCATCCAGAGTTCAGCTCTCCACACTGCACTCGCCTCTATCCCTGCGAAATAACATCGATCAATTCAGATAGGATCTCTGTTTCAGGGGATGCAGTTCTTGTAGTGGATTTAGGACGCGTCACCTGCCTTGATCGATCCCGCGAAGGATCGATTTTTGATTCGGTTAAAAAAAAAATTCAAACAAATTTTAATGCAACATGCGGGTTTTTAGTGTGGTGGACGATCGATCTTCCTCGATTTTGCACGACCAATCGAGGGAGGTGACGTGTCCTATGCTCGGGAGGATTTGTACAGGTATCCAGTATGTGCACGGGCGATGCGGGCTAAACTGTAGTAAGTCTGGAAAGAGCGGGTCCAAAGAGGACGTCCGAATGGGGTGGAAAAGGGTTCGGACTCTATCTAGAGCGGTCTAATAAGAACTCCTGATGGTTGGGTAGGGTTTTCCGAGAATACGTACATTGTTGGACCCGCCCTCAGTGAAGCTGCTTTAAGTTTCGACGAATTGTTCAAACCCTGATTAATTGAATCGCTAGTCCGGCAAAAAATCGCCAGACTTGACGTTGTGGCGAGAAGAAACATGGAACGCCAGAACGCGAGATGATAACCACGTTTGATGAAACTTGGCTATTTTCTCGTGGTGACGATCGCCGGAAGCACGATCCCCATTGCGGTTTGTAGTTGATTGTAGTTGATGCAAAAGTTGTGAGAATAAACGAACAGGGATGAAAATGACTAAGGAAAGATGGGTACAAATACAACCCTAGAAACCCTGTACCCCATATGTGCTACCCCACTATAGCCTACAACAACTATGTCATATAAATCTGACACACCCCCATAGGCAAAGTGGGGGAGAACAAGGGGTCACAAGACCAGTCAAGCAAAGCAAAGCAAGCTCAGGGTGGATCACAAAGTCACCAAACAGTCCGAGCACAAGAGTAGGGCCAGAGGCCAGTTCACATGCAGGAGTAGAGACATATATATAAAACTAGACAAACAAGAGCAGGCATATATATATGTCTCAGTACAAGTGAAGTCAAGAGGAGAGCAAGTGAGGCAAGACAGGCACAAGACCCAGCTGGGTGCAAAAGCGCTGATGGTCACAAGGCGCGAGTGCCTTGGTGAACACATCAGCAGTGTTGGCCTCAGAGGCCACGTACGCAAGTCGCAACTGACCACGCTGCTGCAGCTCACGAGCAAGGAAGTAGCGGAGAGCAATGTGCTTCGTTCTGTGCTCCAAGCGCTGCTCTCGACACAAGGCCAGCATAGCCTTGTTGTCTACGTACAGCACTGGAGGAGAACGAGGCGGCTCTCCAAGGTCAGTCAGCAGGTAGGTGAGCCAGCGAAGCTCCTGTGCAGCCATGGCCCCGGCGTAGATCTCAGCCTCACAACTGGAGCCGAGAACCGAAGACGAGCGAGTAGACCGCCACGAGACAGAGCCGGAACCAAGGCTGAAGGTGTAACCCTGTGACGACCGCTGCGTAGCCTGGTCGTCAGCCCAAGAAGCGTCCGCGTGGCCGGTAAGGACCACTGGACTCCGCCCTCCAAGCACTAGCCCCATGCCCGACGTGCTGCACAGGTAGCGCAATACCCTCTTCGCTGCAGCCATGTGCTCCGGTCTGTGTCTCCCAGGAGCAACATAGCGTGCAAGAATGCTCAGAGGGTATGCAAGGTCAGGTCGTGTGCAGGTCATCAGGTACATGAGGCAGCCAACAAGCTCTGCATACGGACCACTCGACTCTACGGACTCATCCGAAGGCAGAGCTGAGAGTGAGTGGCGAGTAGGCAGAGGAGTGGCCTGAGGCGAGGAGTACGTGAAGCCGAAGCGCTGAAGGACCTGCTGCACCATGTGTGACTGAGTCAAGGTAATGGTGCGGCGTGCTCTGTCCCGAGTGATCTGCAAGCCAAGGTAGCTGCGCAGTTCACCCAGGTCTGTGCACGTGTGTCTCTTCAGCAGCTCGGACTTCACGTAGGCGAGTCCAGCAGTGTCCGCTGTGGCAAAGACCAAGTCGTCGACGTACACGAGGATGTAGAACGGCGGCAGCGAGGTGTCGGTGCGCAGAAACAGCGACGGGTCAGCAGTAGAAGGAGCAAACCCAAGAGCCGCAAGCGTAGTCCTCAGTGTGTCGTGCCACTCACGCGGTGCCTGGCGGAGACCGTAGACTGGCCGTCTGAGGCTCCACTGGGTGCCAGGAGGGAAAGTCCCAGTGAAGCCAGGTGGACGGCGCAGCCAGATCTCCTCGTGCAGGCTACCCTGCAGGAACGCAGTGCTGAAGTCAAGAGAGTGAAGCTCGTAGTCGCGCTGAGCGGCTATGTGCAGCAGCACCCGAAGAGTGGTCATCTTCGGGGTGGGAGAGAAGGTCTGAAAGTAGTCAACTCCCTGCCGCTGACTGAAGCCACGAGCAACGTACCGCGCCTTGAAGACAGGTGGAGAGCCCGGCGGCCGCTTCACCCGGAAGATCCACATGCCACTGACGATGTTCGCCCCAGGAGGGGGAACTGCGTCAACGTAGGTGCCTGTGGACTTCCAGGAAGCCATCTCTGCATCCATAGCTGCCTGCCACTG